ATTAGTTTTACATTAATTCCGAGCTTGGGGGAGGAAGGGTGGGCTCGGGCGCAGGTTTTTCGTCACAACACGTGGCGAAAAGCCTGCGCACATTGTAAGTACCTCTTATTCTAATTTGTACTCATCTTTTTCACAATTTTTTAACTTACATATTAGACTGTAGTAATAATTTGTCATTTTTTCAATTTTCCTAAACTTGAAGAAAGTTCTTCCAACTTTCTTTCATATCCCCTTGCTTTTTTTTAAAGTTTTATATGCGAGTGCAATTTTAGAATAAGAGGTACATGTAGGGCATTTAAAATATGTAACAGTATGTGTGAGTGCGTGAATGTGTCCTGTATCCTGTACTCAGTGATAGGGCTTTTAATACTCTGATTTTATTTCTAGCTTCAAAGTTTTCAAGATTTTATTTCTTCCTCTCTCTTACTTTATTATTTGGTTGGTTTTTAATACTTGTACTTTCGTTTCAGTTTCTCTTTTATTTGATTCGTGAATATTATTTCGAGTTTCCAAGTTTTTGGATCACCTCGTCATTTCAATTCGGTTCTGAAGTTTTTAATTTCTTGACAATTTTATTTGTCTTTTTATTTCGGAGTTGAGATTTTGAACATCGTAATTTCTTGCGGATTTTAAGCTTTTCAAAATCTACGATTTCGATTTTTTAAGAGTTTTGTGTCGGAGGGTGATTTCATTCCTTGCTTCTTCAATTTTCTGTCTTAATTATTATTGTCTATTTCAGGTTTTGATTTCAAGTAAGTTATTTATTAATTTATGTTTGTCTAATTCCTCTTTGTCTGTTTCAGATTTTTATTTTAAGTAAGTAATTTAATTTTTCATGTGTCTAATCATATTCGTCTGTTTCAGATTTTTATTTCAAGTAAGTAATTTAATTTTTCATATGTGTCTAATCATTTTTGTCTGTTTCAGATTTTTATTTCAAGTAAGTAATTTAATTTTTCATATGTGTCTAATCATTTTTGTCTGTTTCAGATTTTTATTTCAAGTAAGTAATTTAATTTTTCATATGTGTCTAATCATTTTTGTCTGTTTCAGATTTTTATTTCAAGTAAGTAATTTAATTTTTCATATGTGTCTAATCATTTTTGTCTGTTTCAGATTTTTATTTCAAGTAAGTAATTTAATTTTTCATATGTGTCTAATCATTTTTGTCTGTTTCAGATTTTTATTTCAAGTAAGTAATTTAATTTTTCATATGTGTCTAATCATTTTTGTCTGTTTCAGATTTTTATTTCAAGTAAGTAATTTAATTTTTCATATGTGTCTAATCATTTTTGTCTGTTTCAGATTTTTATTTCAAGTAAGTAATTTAATT